ATTTCTGCTTCCCCTTGTGACCTCCCTCTCTCGTCAGACTAAGCTGCTGAAATATGAATGGGAAAGGAGAGAGTCCAGCCTATTTCAAGTTCAGAATGGAGAGAACACAGCATCCCCTGGGGAGGGGTAAAGAATGACGCTGCCATAGAGGAGAGTGTTGGAGGCTGGACAGAGGCTGATGGGTCAGTGGCAGGAGGTATGGTTGACCCCTGATTCCCAGGAGCAGTGCACACATGGCAGTCCATGGGTTTGGATCCTTCAAGCTGCTGGCCAGGTTGGAATGACTAATGACATCAGAGGCTTCTGACCTTCCTGATTGGAAGGACCAAATTCCGTGGTGCTTGGCAACAGGGGTGGGCAACAGCATCTTCTCCAAGAATTTGAAAAGACTGGAGTCTAGGTGTCCTGAAAGGGAAGATTTGGGAGAAATCATGGCCAGTTGTGAACCAAGTTTCCAGGGTGAGAACCAGAGACCACAGCCTAACTGTTCAGGGTGCCCCCGAGAGGTGAGGGTGGTTGAAGTCGTGCCAGGACCATCAGGTGAGGAAACTGGGGGCAGAAGGGATTTGAGAGGGTTACCATTGAGGAAGGGGGACCGGAGTAGTGTGTGTGTGAAAGAGAGATTCAGAAAGCCAGGGATTGGAGGAGATCACAGGCGCTGGGGACAAGGATATCCCCACGAAAGGAAAGCCTGGGAAGGAGGCTAGGAGATGAGATCCAAGGATGAGAGAAGGGAAGGGAGGTAATAGTGGAAGGTACCTCTCTTTTCCCCTCCAATGGGAGAAATTATCACCAACAAGGAAGGGTTTTGAGGGCAAAGACGGAGAACAACAGCAAGATGACTAGGGGACACATGGACATCACCAAAGGAGTAAGATGGAAAGATGGCTGGGGGGAAGGCCAGTAGACTATGAGACTGGAGACAATGGAGGGGTTTGCTTTGGAGGCGGGGAGTACATGAGGTGGACTGGGTATGCAGTTTGTTTTATGTAACCAGTAGCCCCTGCCAGTTAGCGAGCTCCCTCTCCTAGGAGGGCACTGACACTATAGGGACACAGGTGTGTGCACACACAACGGGTTGAAAGGAAGGGGCCCGGCTTCCCCGCTGAATTTTATCTTCATCATCAAGGTCTGAGAGGTGCCCTTCAGGTCCCACTCAGCTTCCTGATGCCTGGGTGGCACCAGAGACACTGGATGGGGTTCCCGAGGTCCTGTGTGAGGAGGATCCAGCCTGTGTGCTCTCTGGGAAGCTGAGCACAGGCAGGCGCTTCCTCCCTGCTTCTGAATGGCAACCTCATGTCCTTCCTCAGCTACCTGGCCCTGGACATGGAAGAGAATTACCACGCCCCTAAACAGGCCATCTTGTCCTTCCTCTATGAGGAGAACAACTGCTCCCAGCGCCCCTTGTTCCACAAACTGCGATTCCAGTTCTTCCGTTCCATGGGCTGGAGGGCGAGGGTCACGCGGGAAGAGTGCGAAGAGGTAGGTGGGCTGTGGGATTAGGGGGAGGAAACCACATTGGAGAGACAGGGGACCTTGGGGATCGGTTTGGGGATTTGGGGATGACTAAGAATTGAAGGCTGGACCAGGGACGGGATGGGGTGCACCTGGAGAGTCATCATCTTCTCAGGGGGCTGTTTGTCCTTCCAGATCCAGGCTTTTGATCCAGAGCTCTGGGTCTGGAAGCGAGATCGCGCCCTCCTTTCCGAGACCACCTAAGGTAGGGCTGAAGGAAGGCGGTCGGAGTCCTCACAGGTACAGATGAAAGGATTTGTTGTCTCTAAGAAATCCCAGGAATCCAATGGCTGGACCCATGCTCATCGTCCCCCTCCTCATCACCTCTCCACACACTGAAGTGGACCCTCCAGGCACACAGCCAGGCACTGACTCAGCTCCCAGCCACAAGCTGACACACAGGCACCTCAGTGGGATGTGTGGGGGCCAGACCTCAAGATTTGGTGGAATCATTTTAAACAGAGCAACTAGGTCCAAGTAATCAATTTGTTGAAATGTTGAGTTTCTTGAAAACTGAGTTAGTTTCCAATTTTTTCCATATATTGTGACTTCCTGTTGTTCATTCACTTGGGCCTTTCTCCCTCAGGAATGCCAACTACAGGGACGTTCTGCACTGAAGTCAATGTCTAACAATAGGGTATCAGATGGAACAGTCTCTAAATCCAAAGATAAACAGATAAATCCTCACTAGCTGTCTTCATCCACGTTTACACGCAAACAAGTGGCCCATGGCCAGATCACCCTGTGTCCTTCACTTCCCCTGGCTCACAATCTCTCCCTTTGGACCATTACACGTCTCCCCTCAAGTTTATGGTCAAGGAAGTTTGTCAGAATGAGCAAACGTTGAGAAATACTGGTCCCGCATGGCTTACCCTGATCGACACATGGGAGTTACAGATTGTGGCAGAGGACTGAGTTTTGGTTAAAATCTTGTGACCTCCCTATCTTAGTCCGTTCTGGCTGCTATAACAAAACACCACAGACTGGGTGGCTGACCAACAACAGACATTTGCTTCTCACCATTCTGGAGGCTGGAAGGCTGCGATCAAGTGCTGGCACGGTGGGGTTCTGGTGAGACCGTCTTCTGTGCTGCAGACGGCCAACATGTCGCCATGTCCTTACACAGTGGAAGGAGCGAGGCATCTCTGGAGCATTCTCTAAGGGCAGACAATAAGCTCATTCTTAGGGCCCCACCCAATGACCTAACCACCTCCCAAAGGCCCCACCTCCTAATACCATCACCTCAGGGGTAGTGAATTTGGGGGACACAAACACTCACACCATAGCACTAGCCTCGTTCAGACTCGGTATGATAGTTAAACATCCGGATCCAGGGTTAGGAGCAGGGATGGGGTGCCTGGTCTCGTGGTCTGTGATGTGGACATGTCAGTGATGTTTGCAGTGTGGCTGGAGGTTAGATGTGAAGGAGCACAAAAGGACCAAGGTGTGAGTGAGCTAGAGCAGCTCTCTCCCTAGGTGTGCTGCCCCCGAACACACAGTCACCTAGAGTCCTGGCTATAAACAGGTCACTGGGTACACTAAGGAATGTTGGGACTCAGGGTCATTGAAGTCCAAGCATCACACTTGGAAACAGTGGTTCAGGAGTGGGGCTGAGAAGGCAGGACTGGAGATAAAATGGGGCCTACAGGTTAGCCAAACTCTGTTAGAATTGCCTGAGATTTTAATAATCTTTACATGTGGAGAGCTGCCTGTTTGGAATGTGACATCCTGTCTCTTCCTCTTACCTCTAGATCGCTGAGCCCAGGGCAGACTCCACTTTAAAGCAGGAAGTCAATCCAGATGCTCAGCACAGACAGGAGGAAGGGAAACATCATCCAGAGGAGCCCAGAACGACCTCCAACAGGCTCAATAGCTATGTCTGTCTGTTCCCAGGAGCACGTCTAGGAGTCTGTAGGAGGACAGTACGGAACTAGGGTTTTTTCAGATTCCATCCCTTCCTAAGGCTCCATCCCAAATTTCACTTTGTTTAATTCAAATCTCCTGAGGCAGAAGCTGGAGGTCCCACATTTTCTACACCTGGTTGTAGCCTTCCAGAGCCATCTGAAGGTGGCGTTTGGGGTCTCAGACCAGGAGGGAAATACTTTAAAGTATAAAATTAGAGCCCTAAGTTTGTGATAGCTAAATGTATGCCATGCATTCTATGGTTTGTTTAGAAAATGTTGCCCATAGGATTATTATATTTAGTTTCATATTTAATATTTATATATTTATGTTAGGTAGATTTGAATAGTCAGTAGTTTTAAAAAGCTTTCTGATGAGTATTATAGCTGGCATACGTATGCAAATACTGTGTAATTTTGTTTCCATTTTCAAGAGAGGTTTCTCTGGTTTTATCTATTATATTTATATAATATCAATTATCTTATAGGTAGGTGGTAGTTCCCCCATATTCTTATAAATTTTTAGTTTTTAGACTTTATTAGTGAATTGTGAGAATTTGGGTGTAATTTATTGCCTTGCCTGGATGGCATTTTTGTATGTTAGTTTAGATCATTAAAGAGCACAAGGCAATGCATCTCTGGAGAAAATATAATACAGATGAATTCTCACCTTTGTGACGTGTCTGGTCATGTCAGTTTAATTAGCCTATTCACTATCAAATGATAATGTAGCTAAATGGGGCTGTGATTATTCAACCAAATTTCTTAACTCTGAGAAATAATCCCGAATTGTTTTCCACGTATTAGAAAAAAACAATAGAAGTTGAGTCAGATCCTAAGTTAGAGTCTGAGAGGGGGAAGAAGGGGACGATATTGAGGTAGAAGAATGGGGAAGAGCAGAGAGAAGGAAGAAAGCACCCCGGGTACCCAGGCAATAACCAGAAATTCAAAGTCAAGGACAGGTGACTCCACCAGACAAGCTTTCCCGGAAATGGGCTGTGACAAGGGGACCCCTGGGCACAAGAGAACACACAGTGTTCACTCTTTTACCCCTCATGGGAGTCCTTTTCACAACCTCCAATAACAGTTTTAGCTGGTAGAAGGAACATCTAGAGCCTGTGGTGAAGCAGGAACCATGGGAAAGAAATGAGGGTACTGGGGAAATTTCTGGGATGTGTTCAGGCTGTTAAGGGAGATGGGCCTGGAGGAGGAGGAACTACTGCCGTGAACAGTGGATTGTGGAGGAAAGCTTCCTGGGAGAGGGGATGGTCAGAGGATGCTGGGACGGTCCCGCACCCCAAGCTTCCGTGTCCTCAGCCTGTGGCCTCCCTCACAGCGCACAGATGTGCCTCACCCATCAGAGAAGCTCACCTGAGCTTCCGGGACCTGGGTTTTCTTGGGGTTTCAGTATGTAGCACCATCTAGTTTCTAGTCAATCAATCACTGGCCAGGAGGTTGAACTCAGTCCCCAGCGCCCTCTCCTCCCCAGAGACTGGGCTCTAACCCCTGACCTGCACTCCCAGGGCTGGTCTTTCTGGCCTGACGGGCCCACGCCCTGAGGCCCCTCCTCCGCATAAGCCCAGGTGTGCTCCAAGGGGCCCCGCGTGGTGCGCACACACCCCGACCACCCAGGACATTCCTCCAAGGAACCAGGGACAAGGACCAGCCAAAGTGTTCATGATACGACACACTGGGCATGGCCAGTGGGCAGGGCAGGGAAACAGGTGTGGCTGCAGGAACAGTTTAGGCCAGAGCTGTGGCAGTGGAGACGGGGGACGCTGAAGCAGTGAGGAGTGGAACAAGGGGATGCTCACAGCCTCTGGAGGAGCTCAGGAGATGCACAAATTCAGGACAGGGGGCGAGTCTTCTCCACACAGTGTCTGGGCAAAAGGAATATGGGAGTTCTATGTACAATGCTTGTAACTGTTCTGTAAATTGGAAGTTTTTTCAAAATAAAATACTGATTAAAAAAGAATGCTATCAAATACATAGGGAATGACTCAAAGGGACTCAGAAGAAGCGATTCACAGATGTGCCCACTTACACATCAAAAGAAGTAACAACTTCAACCTACCAAAGTACTTAAACGTTTAAATCCACCAGCTCATAACAGTAACAAAAGGAAGCAAATGTAAAATCCTCTTCAATATTTTGGAAATTGTCTTCTTGTATGAACCACAGAACCAAGTAAGAGGAGATGCTTTTCTTCAGAAAAGTAGTCCAGCTCATAAGTGAAGGAGAAAGGGTAGAGAAGCACCTTACCATTCTATAGCCTGTAATGAATCATTTGGTCACGGTAACGGGTATCAATCAACAGAAGCTAATCTCACAAGACAAAGACAGGAGGATAAAACGGGCTTCCAGAAGAAAGAGGGCACATGTCATGGACAAGAGTCTTGCCAAACACTCTGAACTGGTCCGAGTCAATTTCCAATCTAACTACCAATCTTACAAGGCCTACAAGGAATTAAAAAAAAAAAAAGTAAAGTTAAAACAGATGGCAATGCAATCCCCACAATCCATACTGTGAGAAGCAGGATAAACAACCCAATTTCTTCAAAAAACAAATTGCAAAGAAATAACACAAGAGACATAAAGGGGAGTTACTATTAATAGATTTAAAACACCAATCTCCCACCTGAAACATATGGAGGCTATTTGTGTCCTGACTGAAAAGAACAAACCAAACATTTAGAAAAGGGAAACTTTGAACACTGAATATTATCGAATCCTATATAATAATCATATATAATAAAGAGGGAATATGCAAATTGACCATCACTCCAAAACACACGATGGCCGCCCCCATGTGGACACAAGATGGACAGCAGGGGAGGGCAGTTGGGGGTGACCAGGCCTACAGGGGAGGGCAGTTGGGGGTGACCAGCCCTGCAGGGGAGGACACTTAAGGGCAATCGGGCCAGCAGGGGAGCAGTTAGGCGTCGATCAGGCTGGCAGTCGAGTGGTTAGGGGGTGATCAGGCAGGCAGGCAGGTGAGCGGTTGGGAGCCAGCAGTCCTGGATTGTGAGAGGGATGTGTCGACTGCCCTCTAGGGGTCCCAGATTGGAGAGGGTGAAGGCTGGGCTATGGGACACACACACACACACACACACACACACCGTGCACAAATTTTGTGCACCAGGCCTCTAGTATTATATAAGAAAGAATGGTACTGGGGTTATATCTCCACTCATTTTTTTTAAAAATATATTTTTATTGATTTCAAAGAGGAAGGGAGAGGAAGGGAAAACATCAATGATGAGAGAATATCATTGATTGGCTGACTCCTGCATACCCTGTACGGGGGATTGAGCCCACAACCTGGGCATGTGCCCTGACTGGGAATCGAACATTGAACTCCTGGTTTAGAGGTTAACACTCAACCGCTGGGGCACATCGGGTAGGCTCCACCCACTTTTTCACAGACTCTTTATCGATCAAGGATACACACAGAAATTCTCACAGGTAAACTTTTTTAAAAGTCAGGTAAAGGGAGAAAATAACAGTTTGGAAGAAACTCATGTCAAAGGCAGATGAATGGTCACCTGATGAAAAGAACTGGAAAAAGTCCACTGGATTTGATTATAATTAGGTCACTACTAATCTTTACCCACAGATGCAGGAAAATGGTAAGGACAAAGCCAAGACACTGAGAAATGAAGTGGGAATGGGCAGCGAGGGCATCTTTACTAGAGAATACTTTTATCCCTGGATTAAACGGTAAACATGGAAGCATATCTATCTGCATCACAACATGCTGATGCCCGGAAAAATCATAAACACCAAGTTCTCCCGGGGCAGGAGAACTACTTACAAAAGTGAGTTTAAGCCATAGATTACAATGATTTACTGGTTGTTATTACGGGAGCTATCTATATTATGTCAGCTTTATTAAAGAAAACTTTCCAGGTCCTAGGGAATCTTTACAACCCATAGGAACAAATATGGTTTCTCTTCTTATAATCTATAAAATCACATTGCCCTGACTGGTTTGGCTCAGTGGATAGAGCATTGGCCTGCAGACTGAAAGATCCCAGGTTCGATTCCGGTCAAGGGCATGTACCTTGGTTGCGGGCACATACCCAGTCGGGGGTGTGCAGGAGGCAGCTGATCGATGTTTCTCTCTCATCGATGTTTCTGGCTCTCTATCTCTCTCCCTTCCTCTCTGTAAAAAAATCAATAAAATATTTAAAAAATAAATAAATAAATAAAATAAAATCACGTAATGGAAGGCATTTTCCTCATTCTATGACTGTCAAAGACATTGGTTCTATTTGCAGCTCAAATTTGATACAAAGATTCTTGGTGCTGATCTGACACTCTAATAGCTGCATTTTACATAATGTCTTTTATCTACTTCTACGTTCCCATTTTAAAATATGGCCCAGAGGTCAGCTGGGACCTGCCCTTCCACGCCAGACGCTCACGCTTCGATAGCCGGCCAGGCTTAGGGACCGCACATGGTGCACGAATTTCATGCTCCAGGCCTCTAGTACTACCTAATAATAGCCAAACATGGTAATTTGCGATACCTTCGCTACACCTCCCATTGGCTAATCAGCGAGATATGCAAATTAACCGCCAACAAAGGTGGCGGCTAATTTGCATACTGCAGGCAGGGCGGGACAGTGCCAGCCACCAGAGCGAGCCTCCATCCAGGCCCCCGTGGGCGACCCCAGGAGCTGCCTGCCTGCCGCCAGGGACCTGATCTGGTCCTGGGCCGCAGGCACACCAGCCCCGCAAGCCCCAGGAGCCACCTGCCTGCTGCCCGGGACCAATAAGGCGGGCACCAGAAGCCCCAGAAGCCGCCAGATACGGCAGTAACTCTATCAGTAAGCACTCTGAAAGTCAGTGGTATAAATGCATCAATTAAAAGACAGATTATGAGGGTGGATCAAAAACAAAACACACTTTAAATATAATGACACATATAGATTAAAAGTAAATGAATTAAGCTGCAGCCTGTTTTGCTCAGTGGATAGAGCATTAGCCCTTGGACTGAAGGGTCCCAGGTTAGGTTCCAGTCAAGGGCATGTACCTCATTGCTGGCTTGATCCCCAGTCCCTATCAGAGCATGTGCAAGAGGCAACCAATCAGTGTGTCTCTCCCTTTCCTTTCACTCTCTCTAAAATTCAATGGAAAAATATCCTTGGGTGAAGATTAACAAAAACAAAGTAAATGGATTAAGTAACATTAAAGAGATTTTAAGAAAAATATATTCCAAATTTTGTTAGTTGTATAATGGTTATGTTTAAATTATTAACACCTAAGAAATTGGGTAAAGGGTACATATAATATGCTGTAGTATTTTATAGTTTTTTTTACATGTATGAGATTATTTCAAATTAAAATATTAAAAAATTAAAAATTAATAAAATATTAATTAAAATGTATCTGCATTACATGAAAAATCTCCTAATTGCTTCTAGCATAATTTATTAAATTGTGCTAAAATTTACAAGGGTTCAATTAAAAAATATCTTAATTCTAAATGATATAATAGAAAATATTTAATAGTGCAGTTATAAGCACTTATCTGAAAATAAAAATTTAAAGAAGGGATTAGCCAAAGAAAATATATGCACAACCCATGGACACAGACAACAGTATGGTGATGGCCAGAGAGAAGTGGGGAACAAGAGCTGGGTAGAGGGGGCAAAAGGGGGGAAATAGGGACATCCCATCCTATCTAATAAAAGAGAAACATGCAAATTGACCATAACCCCGACACCCTTCCCATTGGCTAATCAGCAGGATATGCAAATTAACTGCCAACCAAGATGGCGGCCGGCAGCCACGCAGCTGAAGCGAACAGGAGGCTTGCTTGCTCCAGTGATGGAGGAAGCCAACGTTCCCGGCCTGCCGCTGCTGGGCTCTGAGCTGCACTCTAAGAAACAATGTTACAATTATAGAAGCTAAACCATCCCCAGAAACGTGCTTTCAGCCAGCCGGGCCTCAGAGCTGGAGTTGAAACAGTGTTACAATTATAGAAGCCAAACAAACCCAGAGACCTGCTTTCAGCCAGCTTCGGCCTCAGAGCTTAGAGTTGCTGTGATGGCAACAGAGTTTCAATTATAGAAGCCAAACAGACCCAGAACCTGCTCTCAGCCCTCAGAGCTGGAGCTGGCTCTTAGCTCCAGTGACAGCTATAGACGGTAAATAAATCCCAGAATAAAAGAAAAAAGAAAAAAAGGAGAGGCTGGGAGCTTAAGTTGCCCTCCAGCCTGAAAACGGCTCTCAGGCCCTCATCCAGGCTGGCCAGGCACCCCAGTGGGGACCCCCACCCTGAAGGGGGTATGACCAGCTGCAAACAGCCATCAGCCCGTCATCCAGGCTGGCCAGGCACCCAAGCGGGACCCCCACCCTGATCTGGG